ATTAAGCGTCATGAGAGTCCTCATCCTTTAGGAAACTCTGCAGACTTGACATTGGACCAGTCTCCTGCTGCAGAAGAAAATGAAGCTAAAATAACTATAGAAAGGACATCCCCGGTATCCATAGGTGATGGTAAGACAGTTAAGTTGCATACACTTCCAGGAGCTAATTGTGGAGTCAACATGCAGTGCATGGCTGAAGCAGAAAACATTCAAGAAGAGAAATACAAAGAAACCAATGGGAGATCGATTGCTGAAAATACTATCTCAGAACAGAAGTGTGAAGATAAATCTAATTCCAGTCATTCAAATTCACTTGCTACTCCGGTGACTGTGGATCAATGTTCTTGTTTATCTAATGAGATTGGGAAAGGTGAAAACCGTTTATCTATTGAACTTTCTGTTGGAGCTGCTCCCATAACAGGCAAAACTGAATCTAATTTGACATCTGTCCATTGTGCTAATCAAGAGGATGAGAAAGCTTACGCAGCTCCTGTGGACACTAAAATACCTTTAGTCATTATGGATGAAAAGCCTGATAAGCATGAGTTTAAAACTATGGTTGTAGGGTATAGTCAAATCTCAATGGAAGCTAAAAGCTTGGAAGATAGAACTACTATTGTAAATGGAACCTCAATGGATGCCTATAGAGATAAAGGTACTAATGAAGATCACAGTGCTTCTGCAGTTGACAGTGGAGTATCTGTGAAGTTATATGTTCAGCAAGTGGAGATTATTGAGGACAGAACTGGCTCACTTTTACCAGATTTGAAACACTCTTCTAGTTGTGAAGATATGTTGGTGACTTTGACTGAATCAAAATCACTTAAAAAGGATATGGTTGAAATGGATGATGCAACTATTAAGGTAGGAATGACTGGTGAGAGTTTCAATGAAGCAGGAATAACAGCTCCCGTGCTCAACATTTCAGATGTTGGTGAAAATGTGGTTAAGCCTACTCAAACTTGTGGGGAGGGTCAACTTCATGGAGAGGATGTCATATACAGTAATAACAGCATGGAAGATGACCTAGCTTCTAGAGAACCTGTTAATGCATGACCATTCTATTTTCTACTATAAAAGGTATTGTTCTAGAGATTACAAAATATTTTATCATTCAGCTTATAAGTTTAAGAAAATTGTTCCTTACATTTGCACTTTCCATCATCACTGAGAAACTGAGAATACTTTCGGGTACGTGTTTTGTGGTACTTATGGATGCATATATGGTAGCTGTAGACAGGTATTATTAGTACATACCAACTTGTTGTATCGTTAATGACCTGAGTTCATATATTGGTCACCAGTAGATTTACCCTAGATGTTTAAGTTGTGGCAGCAACTTGTGAAGGCATGCCTCTGATGTAGTTATATAACTCTGTGTCTCTGTGTCTATGAATTGCTGTAGTTATAGTTAAGTTTCGTCTGAAATCAGGCACGAGTCATGAAAATATCAGTTCACAGTTATGATCAAGCATCTGTAGAAATCGCCAAATCGGACAATCCTTATCAGAGCTTCTAAATCTCAGTTTTATTTTGGAAAAAAAAACTGGAAAAAGTTTCAGGCAATATTTTGAGCAGATGCATGTGCTTGATTTGAGCAAATTTTCACTTGAATTCATAGGCGCCAGGGCCATACACAGATATGCATCTTTTCTAGTTACTTTTGATTCTAGGAGTTCTTTAACCAGTGTAGTAAATTTTTTTCTGGAATACGCAGGAGGCTCATTGCATTAAGATAGGGAAAAGGAAGGCTCAAATAGCCAATACAAAACTCACACCACACCACACACACCTCAGGATTTTTTACTGTTACACGCGCCTGTTCAAAACAACCAGTGTAGTAAATCAACTCCCTCGTTTGATAGGAACTGTTTTGGTGGACATCAAGGATAGTTGGTAGTGGGTACTCATTGGTAACATTTATGGATAACAGTGCTCCCTGGATGGTCTAAAGGAGAGATTGTTGGGCTGGCGACTGGCGTGGATGAATTTTTGTTGGTAAGAAAATTCTTGATCCCAAATATGCTTGGTCATGTTATGAATCTTATGTATGCTTTTGAAGACGTGCAAATCATTAATTGCATGTAGCATGCACACATTGCAAATCTCAGCATCTGTTATAAGTTGTGGTTCAGATGTCCATCTATGACTATGAGCTTGAGCCATCTTTTTAAAACCAAAGAAATAATGTGTGAACAAAGTTTGTAACAACTTCTGCCTCTCATTTGCATTGAGTCAGAAACTTGTTGGAACTGCTCCCCGTTGACACTTGTGATCTCCTTAGGCATTACAAGTCCACTTTACTAATGCTTATTCTAGTTTTCATTCGTCCTTGTCATGGTCAAGAACATCTGAAGCTCTGGGAAGTAGCGTGACTTGTCCATCCTGGTCCTTTCTTTAGATCACTCTGTGCTAGCTGATGAGCAACTGTTAAATAACCATTGCTAATTGTTACTTTAGATGGGAAACAAAATTAGGTCGATGCTGCTGTCTGTTTAAATTTCCTAAAATCATGTCAAATCCTTTGGCATTCAATTGCTTGTTCCTCACAATCTTTTAACTAAAAGGTCTTGTTTTTTATTTGTATTGACAGTGTGCGAGGCACTGCTTGGAGCTGGGACGGTCCGTGAGAAGCATGGCACAGTTGGTTCTTAAGCTTTCCTGACTTTTGGTTCTTCTATACTGATGGCTGTAGATCATGAAGCTTTCCTGACTTTTTGTTCTTCTATACTTCCCACAATCTGGGTCAACATTTTGTTGTAGATATACATGTGTGGAAGTTTTCTGTTGTCCTCCTGGTTGACCCAAACTCCGTGTTAAGAATTGGTACCCATGGTATGCATGTGGAATTTTGTTCCATGTACAGAAATTAGAGAAGAAAAGAAAAGCCATGTGTTAGCGGTTATAAGTTGTCGCTTGTTTGTCTGTGTAGCACTGTGAAATTCCTTTCGTGATTGCAGGGCTGCAACCACGATTGTTCTGCTGCTTTACATGTAACGATAGTTCCCAGTGGGTGGTTAGTGGTTACTAGTAGCACTTACCAGCCTGTCTGTTTTCTGTTTGATGGAAATGGAAGTGCAAAATCGCCTCTACATATTTGCAGCGTGATTCGTGTGACAGACACTGCAGAGGATCAGCCGAAGGGTGATGGATGTAACCGAAGGAATGATGGATGTAGCTGTAAATGTTTCTATCTGAATGGAGTTGATGCGCCCTTGTCGCCACATTTTGACTTTTCGAGCAGTCTGATCCTGCAATGTACCCATTTTATCTCTTAGGTTACTCTATTGGTTATAACTTATAACATACAGTTATTTTTAGAGTTATTATTAGATGTCTTATGCTGAGGCTCTGTTTGTTTCATTGAAAATCTGCTGAACTGTTTGGATTCGAACTGTTTGGACTCTAGGGCTTTGTAGTTTTGTTGTGAGATGAAAACAACCTGTGGTTTGGTGTTTGTGATCGTAAATTTCAAAGTAAAACTGCTGAACTCTTTGGATTCTAGGGCTTTTCAGTTTCAAAGCAAACGAAATGCAACAATTTAGCATTCATTTTAACAGTTTGGACCCACATTGATAGACAACATACGAAATAATTAATTACTATGACAGCATTGTATATAGTAACATGATATCATGCATTGTAGATGTTTTTCCCTAATAATTCAATACTCTTCTTATGATGTGTCAGCATTGGATATTGGAGCATGATACCATGGATTGGGATTAGCCTTATATAAAACAAAGCCCTACTACAAAGTTTTATCTTGCACCACAACATTTCATGCTATCATTTTTGTTCTGGCCATCCAATGTTAAGCAGCCACCTCAAATCTTAGGGGTTTCGTAGGAATCGTGCAAGAATTTCACAGGAATCAGTTCAATTTCACAGGAAAAATACAAGAAATATTTTCCGCGTTCCAAACAGGCCCTTATTTCAAGGCAACAGAACAGGCATCAAGCTGGAAAGTGCTGTCATGAGTATGATGCAGCGCTTCTCTATTTCCCATGTCTTGTATCAGCTCCGTTCCCTACCAGCGAACCCCATGTCTGTTTGGGTGGAGACGTTCCAAGCTCATGTAGGCCACTAAAATTCAGCACGGGGGCAATGGTTTTTGTTTGCCTTATTTCTGGACGGCCAGCGTTCTTGGAGACGCCGCGGAAATTGGCCTCCTCCAATCGGGTTCTTCAAATTCATGCTGCGTTAATTTATTTCTTTTTATTACTTGATGGATTAACATCTTGTGTGCTCTAATTTTCTTTGCAGAAAATTTCCCACCACCCACGATACAGAGATATAGCAAATTACTTGCATTCACATCTCCAACTACTATAAAATCTGAAATCTCAAATGTACGAAATTATTCTACTCCCCATCAAACTCTTTAATGTTTATGCTTCTAATTTTTTCCCAAATCCCGTGACAACACGGGGGGATTTACCCTTTTTTTAATAATTAACAATCCCAACAATAAGCATAATACAAATAGTGTTATTTTTTTAAATTTTTGTATCTTCTATTAAGAACAGTTACGGGAAATGAACTCATTCAATTTTTTATTCTTAATATTCTGAAACTAATTTAAATTCAATCTTCAAATCATTCTCAAGAAAAAGTTAAACTTCAAATCAAATCAAGCAAAAAGGAAAACGCAGACGGCGTAGCCAGATACAAGAAAATCCGTCTAAAAAAAGCCAGATACAAGAAAATGATGGGCTAGATGTTCACTCCTGAACCTTATGTTTTTGCCGATGCAGGCCCAAACTAGGTCAAAACAGTCCGTAAAGCCCACCCAACCCCACTCCGCATCTTCGCATCCATCCTAGCCGTCGATCCGCGTCCACTAGGGTTTGCTTCCACCCCATCACACTCCCAACTTTAAAGCCCGCCTCGCAACGCCGCCGCCGCCAGCGAGAGGAGAAACCCTACCCCCGCGCAGCCGCAGCCCGTCGCCGCCTCCAACTCCGGCGCGCGCCCGAGCTCCACCAGCCGCTGCCGCCATGGTAAGAGCTCCGCCCTATCTTCTTTTGTGGCCCCACTGAGCCGCCACGGGTCGGCGATTGGTCTGACGCGCGGTTGGCGTTGTTGGCTTTGCAGTCGCTGATCGCGGGGGAGGACTTCCAGCACATCCTGCGTCTGCTCAACACCAACGTGGATGGCAAGCAGAAGATCATGTTCGCCATGACCTCCATCAAGGGTGTCGGCCGCCGCTTCTCCAACATCGTCTGCAAGAAGGCCGACATCGACATGAACAAGCGGTGAGTTTTGGATGGGGTTTTGCAGTTGGTTCATTTAGTGGAATGAGGACGAGATGCAAGGGGGCGTTGTCGGTGATTAGCATCGCGAATTGTAGATGGTTCTTGTGGAGTTTGGTGGTGCCGGGGCGAGGGATCGCCTCATTTGGACATGTATTGGGCTGCAGCTGTCTAGGTTGGACGAACAGTTTTTTGGGAGTTATCTTAATTTAGATTCCAGTCAATTTTCATTGAAATCCTTTGAAATTAAGGTTGGTAGATCCTGTTTTAACGAGTATAAGCGCTGGGTGATTGGTGCTTTTATACGTAATTAAATACCCTTCTGTTGGACAGAAGGATAGAATTACAGTCTGATGATTTGGTTGTAATAATCAATTTTCTTTTTGTGCCTTTTGTCATCATAATTTGCCAATTTAGCACTTTATTTATGAGCATGCTGAAATTTGTTTCCAACTTGTTGGGTGCATTAAAACCACAGCTAACTTTATCAGAACTGTTGACATGCATTCCTCAGCAATGATTTCATTTTAGGTACTGAAAGTTCATGCTGTAGCCATAGAGAACCGAGAACTATGTTTTTTATTTATTATTAGTTTTTGGAAAAACATCTGTTAATGTTTATTTCTATTCAATGAACAAACATGTTTTGAAGTTGTTCAACTTCTGTATCCTGAATTAGGTTTAGCTTAGTTTTTGGACCTGTTGGGCAGTAGTTTTTTGTATTGGTATATGAATATGAAGATAGATTGTAAGGTTATAAACTATTAAGAAATTACATAAGGCCAATTTTGGTTGCCTCCATGTGTAAACTTGGCAACTGTGGAACATACTGTATCTACTAATTGTTTTCAGTAGTCATCTGTTGCTCAGTGTGGATTGTAAGTTAGCATTTCTGACTACTTGGGAAAATGCAGTGAGCCCCGTTTGAAAATGTGTTTTAAAGCCCTTGCCATCCATATGACTATTATAAGTGTAGAATTGCAAATACTTGTCTAGGCTTTTTGTCAATGTTTCCAGTTTGCTCATGTTTGCTGAAGTTTGAGATTGTTTTATTGCACCACTGTCCCAGTCCCACTAAATTTTAATTGTTCCATATTAGCCAACTGTGCCACTAGGATGTCTGTCTAATATTGTATGTTACTGCAGGAATCCCATATTGCATGAAGTTCAGATATGATGAATGATTATATTTTTTGTGCAGGGCTGGTGAGCTATCCGCGGATGAGCTTGAGCGCCTCATGACTGTGGTTGCAAACCCCCGCCAGTTTAAGGTCCCTGACTGGTTCCTCAACAGGAAGAAGGATTACAAGGATGGTAGGTTCTCTCAGGTTGTTTCCAATGCCCTTGACATGAAGCTCAGGGATGACCTTGAGAGGCTGAAGAAGATCAGGTCAGTCTATCATCATGTTTTTCTGTTACTATTATTGATTGATGTTGTACTGCTATACACAAGTTAGCATGCCCACATATTTATTGTCACGGCATTGTTGAAAATATTAGTTGCATTTTCCTCTTTGTTAGTGCTGTTCATGTTTTTCATAATTGTACACAGCCAATGTCTTTGTGGTGAAAACTTGTTCATCTGTGTTGGAACTGTTATCTGCTCTTCACACAGAATATGCTCGTGATTCGAATATCTGTTTTCTTGTTGCGTCCGTTATATGACACAAAACCCTTGTGTTATCCAGGAACCACCGTGGTCTGCGTCACTACTGGGGCCTGCGTGTCCGTGGCCAGCACACCAAGACCACCGGGAGGCGTGGAAAGACTGTCGGTGTGTCAAAGAAGAGATAAACTCTATTGGCCTATCTTGAGTGTCTTTGAGTATGCAGACATTTGTGCTTTGTTATGCCGCAGGATGTTCATTATCTGTAGGATAGATGAGAGTTCCGCTTTACGAGACCTCTATGTATTGTAGCAATCTTTTGCTGCCTGTGTTCCAAGCGGGTTGAATTGAATGTTCTATGAAATGGGTAAAGTTTTATATGCTTGACAGTACTTTTTTTGCGCTGTGTTTCCACTTGGAGCGCATTTTGCTCGTGAAAGCTGACGAAGAACCGATTTGTTCTATGAAATTTTGATATATCATCAGTTTTGGATACCTGTGTTCCTTAATTTATCCCGGCATTCAGTAGTTTCTGGACCTGGTGAAGTTGTGATCGATGAAGTGTTCGTAGTCGTCTAGTCTGGGCCCGTGGTCGTTTAAATTAGCATCAATGCTTAATGTGTGTAAGCAAATGTCCATCATAAATAGGAACCAACTTGTATATCGACCTAGCGATATCATTAGTCACCTGTATCAATCACCTTACATTCAAGTAGCCTTTCCGTGGTCTTTTGCACTTTGGCTGTCCAGTCTAGTTGGGCAAATACCTGTGCATTGTTCGTCGGTGATTTGGCTGATTGTCACGGTGCATGATAAGCATTTTCATGACTTGTTTTGTGAGATTGTCCAGTATCTGTCCCGTGTTCTACAGATACAAAGTTTTGTCCATACAAGAATTATCATGATTTGTTTTGTGAGAGATTGGTCATTCTAATCATTTGACTCGCATCGGTATTGATGCTTTGGTGGCAGCATTAGCTGCATTGACAAGACGCAATGTCAGAGTGAATGAACACTGAACTGAAGCCTTCTCCAAAAATACAAATGCCGAGCTGGAGCAGAGGAATTGAGTAAAGGCTCTGGCATCTGACTACTTAACCCAGCCAGTGGCCAAATGGGCCAAAGATTGGAAGCCCATCCCATCCTTCCTTCTTAAAAAAAAACCTGAACCCCTTCCTTAATAAACGAAGTCAGTCAGTGGCTGAATTAGCCGATAAATAGACTCAACGTATACTCCATTATCCAACATTTTTGTGAATCCAAACATGAAATTCATTATTAATAATACCTATCCATTGTTGGCCTTGTACACTAGACTCGGACAGGAAGATTGGCGCTCGTGGGCTAACATTTTAGACGAAACAGGTCACATGCCGATATAGGGCTTGTTTGATACTACAGCTAATTACTAGACAACTAAAAATTAGCCTAAATCAGCTCTAACTCATCCAAACAAGAAGCTCATAGGTGGGCTAATTTTTAGCCAAACCTCCAACTAGTCACTGGCCATCTAGCCAAGCAACCCCTAAATCACATGCCTCTTGAATTGGGTACTGAATATGCTCATCGTTTGCAACCATTGCGGTCTACGGATCTTGCATAGGTATGATGGGGACAGATAAACAACAATGCCAAGCACTCGCCTACGTGATAGAGCTAATCTTACAGTTCACATTAAGCATGAATACTATTCTAGAAGAACCTCCAAGCGGATGGTTCAGATTCCATCAAAACAACGACAAAGCCTTTAAGTCCCAAACAAGTTGGGATAGACTAGAGTTAAAACTAAACAGAAGCAATCAAGGTTCAGGCACATGAATAGCTGTCTTCCAAGCACTTCTATCTAAGGCTAAGTCTTTGGATATATTCCATCCTTTCAAGTCTCATTTTATTGCCTCTATCCAAGTCAACTTCGGTCTTCCTCTGCCTCTCTTCACGTTACTATCCTGGCTCAGGATTCCACTACGCACCAGTGCCTCTGGAGGTCTCCGTTGGACATGTCTAAACAATCTCCAACCGGTGTTGGACAAGCTTTTCTTCAATTGGTGATACCCCTAATCTATCATGTATATCATCGTTCCGAACTCGATCCCTTCTTGTATGACTGCAAATCCAACGCAACATACGCATTTCCGCGACACTTATCTGTTGAACATGTCGTCTTTTCGTATGTCAACATTCTGCACCATATAACATAGCAGGTCTAATCACCATCCTATAAAACTTGCCTTTTAGCTTCTGTGGTACCCTTTTGTCACATAGGACACCAGATGCTTGCCGCCACTTCATCCACCCTGCTTTGATTCTATGGCTAACATCTTCATCAATATCTCCTTCTCTCTGTAGCATTGATCCTAAATATCGAAAGGTATCCTTCCTAAGCACTACTTGACCTTTCAAACTAATATCTTTCTCCTCCCGAGTAGTAGTGCCGAAGTCACATCTCATATACTCAGTTTTAGTTCTACTGAGTCTAAAACCTTTGGACTCCAAAGTCTCCCGCCATAACTCTAGTTTCTGATTCACTCCTGTCCGACTTTCATCAACTAGCACTACATCGTCCGCGAAAAACATACACCAAGGGATGTCCCCTTGTATGTCCCTTGTGACCTCATCCATCACTAAGGCAAACAAATAAGGGCTCAAAGCTGACCCTTGATGTAGTCCTATCCTAATCGGGAAGTCATCTGTGTCTCCATCACTTGTTCGAACTCTAGTCACAACATTATTGTACATGTACTTAATGAGCCCAACGTACTTTATTGAGACTTTATGTTTGTTCAAAGTCCACCACATAATATTCCTCGGTATTTTATCATAAGCCTTCTCCAAGTCAATAAAAATCATGTGTAGGTCTTTCTTCTTCTCCCTATACCGCTCCATAACTTGTCTTATTAAGAAAATGGCTTCCATGGTTGACCTTCCGGGCATGAAACCAAATTGGTTCATAGAGACCCATGTTATTGCTCTCAAGCGATGCTCGATAACTCTCTCCCATATCTTCATAGTATGGCTCATCAACTTAATTCCCTGGTAATTAGTACAACTTTGAATATCCCCTTTGTTCTTGTAGATTGGTACCAATATACTTCTCCTCTACTAATCAGGCATTTTGTTCGATCGAAAAATATGGTTGAACAGCTTGGTTAGCCATACTATAGCTATGTTCCCAAGGCATCTCCACACCTCGATTGAGATACCATCTGATCCCATCGCCTTACCTTCTTTCATCCTTTTTAACGCCTCTCTGACCTCAGATTCTTGGATTCTCCGTACAAAGCGCCTATTGGTGTCATTAAAAGAGTCATCCAACTGAAAGGTTGTGTCCATATTCTCACCATTGAACAATTTGTCAAAATACTCTTGCCATCGATGTCAGATCTCATCCTCCTTCACCAAGAGATGCTCCCTTTCATCCTTAATGCACTTAACTTGGTTGAAGTCTCTTGTCTTTCTCTCACGAACCCTAGCCATCCTATAAATGTCCTTCTCTCCTTCCTTCGTACTCAAATGTTGGTAAAGATCCTCGTACACTCTACCATTTGCCACACTTACAGCTCGTTTTGCAGTCTTCTTTGCCATCTTATACTTCTCTATGTTGTCCACACTCCTGTCATGGTATAAGCGTCTATAGCATTTTTTTTCTTCTCCTTAATAACCCTCTGGACTTCCTCATTCCACCACCAAGTATCTTTAGCCTCGCCTCCACTTCCTTTGGTTACACCACACACCTCTGAGGCCACCTTTCGAATGTTGGTTGCCATCTTCTCCCACATGTTGTTTATGTCATCTTCTTTCTTCTAAGAGCCCTCTTTGATAACCCTTTCTCTGAATACCTCTGACGTCGTCCTTTTCAGTTTCCACCACTTTGTTCTTTCAATCTTAGCTTGTTTGTCCCTATGGGCACGCACTTGAAAATGAAAGTGTAACATCCTCAATTTTCCGCGAAGGGAAAATCCACAGAATGAATTATAATATGATGAAATCGATAGTTGATTCCATCATATTATCATATATCAGTCGATATCATAGTCATACATCGTAAGATTATAAGAATACAAGATATTACATCACTGGGGAACACACCTATTACAGAGTTAATCTAGCGGAAGACTATCGAGTGATGGCTCCTCCTTCGCGGGCATCATCAGAGTTGGCGTAGTGCAGCGTAGATTCCTTCTTCGAACCAAACTTGAGCGTAGGCACGAGACCTCCTAATCCTTCTATAGTCAGCATCTCTGAGAAGCAGGAAATCTACACACCGCCAGATGTGTGCAAGCCATGGTCAGCACCGATGAGCTTTAGTGAAAAAGATAAAACAAGAGGATCTGGCGATCCTAACATTTGGCTGTGGTTTGCATCCTTAGCGCATGAGAAGTAAGTAACAGTAGTAATGTAATAATAATGTCCAGTTTTTAACACATTCCCAGCCACACACATCCACATCCATCCATATCCATCCACCAACCATCCATCCCAAACCATCTCCACACCACCACACCTTATCTCATCTCACACACTCAAGTCGACAGCCAACTCCCTCTCGGCCTTGTCTCAACGGGTCCGCAAATTTCCAAGACTCACGACCGAGAAAATACCCCATACCACTGAGGGAGAATAGAAGGACTCATCTCCTATCTAGTTTAAGCGAAACCCCGAAAAGGTCCACAAAATGACAAGTCGGCATATGTATCGATCGATCCACCAAACACTCTGCAGAGGTTTTACATACCCACAAGATAGCCATCCTCGACGGTGCCCCGTCTAGGCAAATTCTGGCCGCTTGCTAGCCTAGAACGATGCCACCCTACCTCTCACCTTTCGAACATCCCAAGTCTAGTCTGGATGGCTGATCTGTGAGTCGTAGATGAGCCGGGCCCACCGGATGTCAAGAGCCGGTCCATAAGGCCTCCTGAAGTCTCGGAAGGGTGTGGGGGGAAACCGCGCACCCCGTACCTCCTTGCACACGTTCGCCTAGCAGTAGTGGCATCGCTCTACCAAGTAGTCCGAACGTCCCGCACCATATAGGGCGAGTGGGATGTAAAGGATTCCCAGTGAATCTGAGTACTAGTAAGTCCTTAGGGGTGACCAAGCCAGAATGTCTTCATCAGGGTTTCCATTTACCATGCCACCACAGCACCTACACCCCGGGCTCCACCTCTCCGAGGTTCACACCCAAGGCCACCTCCAATTACCATTTACCCGCCACAGTATTCCATATCCAAGTGCCTGTGTAGCACCACATGGCAAGACTCGCCCTAGGCTCGCCGTTAT